TATCTCAAATGTTGTGTGATTGACTGTAGAAGAAGGTATGGAGAGTAAGAGGTAAAAAGTAATAGTAAGTAATAAGTAGTGGTAAGTAAGTGATAGAAATAGTAAGTAAAGTAATCAATGAGTGAAAAGTAGTAGTAATATACTTTTATTATAAAAAGTAATGCTATATAAAGTAATGATATATAATATATGAAGTAAAAAGTAATAGCTTAAAAGTAACCGAGTAATAAAAAGTAATAATATGTAATGATATATTTATTGTATTTATAATATATATTACATTTATTATATTTATAATATAAATTATTATTATATTGAAAATTATATGAAAAATTATTTTAGTTCACTTTTTTAAACGCCCCATTTTGATCACTGAAAGTGATCAAAATAGTGATCAAAATCGATTATTTATAGATCAAATGCTGACGTATTCTGCTGTGTTCTATCATTTTTTTGTCTCTTTTTTTCTGTTTTTGGCGCGAGTTTGCAACTATATTAAGGGTATGTCTCGTTGAGTGTTCATTTTGATTTAATTCGGTGGTGTTGAGCGGTCGGTTGCTTGGGTCGCTCTCGTGTTTGGTGTTTATTTGGTGTTGCGCCGTTTTTGATGATGGTTTTGAAATGTGTATCGTTCCAATTGTGTAGTGTGTATGTTTATATACCACCACTGCGTAGTAGTATGTTTATAATTATCGATCTATCGTGCCATTTTTATTGGTGTATATTGCATTGATATGGAGTTGTCGAGGTATATTATTGTAGTATTTTTTAGTTTATGAATCGATTGGATAGTAGGTATAGGCAGCGAGGTTGCAATTTGCTTAAGGATTTGTGACTGTTTCGTAATTTTTTGAATATGTCTTAACATTTGTGAATGTTTTATGATCTTTTTTACGTAAGATGTGATATTTTAGCAGGTGGTCATTCCACTCAATACGACGCAAATCGCTACACTCTACCAGATAGTTCGACAAGTGAAGAATCACTGCATTCAGTCTCGTCGGCATGTTGCAGTAGTACTGTTGCTGCTGCTGGTGGTGGAACGGGGGGTATTTCGAGTAGACACATCGTCGTGAATCGGGCCGAGGGCGGTGGTTATCTCTCTGAGGGTGATTCGATGCTAATGAGCAGTGGTGGGGCTCATAATAGTGCTGCTACACCTGCAACTGCAAATGCTAATGATATTTCAGTACCGGGTTCGTTATGGTGTAGATTATTG